AACAAGGTATTGTATCAATATACTTTTTCAATATGTAATTTCTAAACAATCTCCATACTAAAATTAATAGATATTTTAAATATCTCTTCATGAAGACTACATTGATTGCTATATGTTACATGTTACTTAACCCCCTGGAAACTCTAAACCCTTTCATAATTTCACATTACAGGAACAGAGGAAACAGTCTCAAACCTGTTGCTGGACTTGCCTGTTTTTCATCAAGATTTTTAATTCTGAAACATGCTCCTGCAAAACTTGCCTACAGCATTTTGACTGACAATAACAACTACCACCACTGCTTTAAACTAAGACCTGTGGTAGGCTGGTCTTCAGAAATAGACCCTTGTTCCCTCAGACTCATTGGCTTTATTAATGTGTTTGATTTTGTTGATTATAGCTTTTAGTTCCCATAGCTCAGTCTGGTCAGCAAGCACAGTGTGGGATATTATTTACTGGTGAAGAGTATTGCACACCAGCAGAGGGCCTCTGCCACTCACGGTTGTAAGAGCTGAATAAGGGGAATGCATTTGGTCTGCTCACCAGCTGCATCTTACAGCTGGATGAGAGAATCCCCAGAGTGTGAATTCTTGTGGCACTTGGCAGCCCAAGTACTGGGTTGTGTGGCTTTATTGTCAGCACCTGCAGGATATCTACAATTAGCTCTACCCCAGCTGCAGATAAGCAGAACTGCTGAGAGGCCAGATTTAGTCAGGCCTTGCACGAGGCTGTAGGCAAGTCCAATCCCCTTGAACTGTTAGTGAGGCATTAAGCCATGTGCTGTTCATTAGTGCTGTTAGAACAAGAGCTTTCCTGCAGGAATTGGTCTCCCATCCAGTCTGAAACTTCAACACGCTAATCTGGGACTGATCCCTCTTCTCTGCTGCCTCCATCTTGTGTGTGAGCACAGGTATGAACAACACAAGCAACACATCCATTGTTGCAAGTCAGATTTTTCTCACCTTTTCTCAATCCCTTGCCAAGCATTTCTTTGGATAAGTGCACTGCTGCTTGTCATGAATGCCAGTAGATTTTAAGACTCTTCACCTGTGCTGAATCTTATCATTTTACCAAGAAACTGAAGCTATTGTTCAATTACAAAATTAATGATTCAGTGGATTGATATAGCTTTGAATTTTACCTATCGTGGTTTTCATTCAGAGATGAGTAGGAGTTGAGTTTAGTGGTGTGATGCTCCTTCCTTCCATAAAGATATTCCTGGAATGGAAGTGAGCTACATTCCCCATCTGTGGGGCTCAAGCTGATGCACTCAGCAAGTGTGTAGCCATGTACACTGTCAAGCCAAGCTGCATTTTTCAATCTCTCCTATCCAATGTTTGATTATATGATTCATCTTTGCAGCAATCAGCCCATCACACTGAAGTGTCGGTATCTGAGTGGTACGGCATTCCCAGAGGAGATGCTGTAATTTATGAGATTTACTCTGGTACCAAACTGGCTGCTAGGACACATACCAAAACCTCACGTACCATTGTGATACACAAATGTCATCAAGTATAATTATGGGTACAGAAACTTGAAAATTCAACCTATGGTTTCCATTCAAGTTATTGCAAACTTGCACCACCTGAAGAAGAAAGGCTGGGGGGAAGAAGGAAGCCTGGGACAGAATGACCAGTACCTTTCTTAGGTATACACAGTGTGATAGAGCACAACGGTCTTATTAAAAGTCTATCGCTACAGCAAGGATTAATCCTTTTCATCTGGAGAAAAGGTCAAATTAAGACAAGTGAACGTGAACTAGATGAATCCTGTTACTTGTTCTATTCACCACATCTGTGTCCAAACTAGGTTAATATTAGCATGTATTTTATTTCATTAAGTAACAAGTGTCTTTGTCTTGATGAGGCTGAATAAAGACATCCAGTTCAAACTACTTTATTGCTTAGGCTATTTTTACTCATCGGCCTTCTCTTTCAGGCTCTCAAGTTCTGGTGACTCATCATTTGAGCCACCATCACAATCACACCCAATCTTGACATCTGTGAGATGTATTCTTTTGAGGACAGCAGGGGAAAAGCACAATGTACCACACCCTAAGATTTCTATCATAGAGACTAGTGAAAAAAAACAAAACATTTCACACATAGGTGTAAAATAAGATGGGTTACAAAACCAAATTCTGGAAGACACAAGCATTTCTAAAGCTGATGAACATTTCTTCATGTTGTTGTTTATTGTCAATAACATCAAAGGCTGGGGGATTTTTCACCTATTATTCTTAGGCTATTTGTTTCTTCATTGTAAATCTGACACATATGTCATTATACATTGTCTTATTGCCATGGTATAATTTTTGTTTTGGCTTTCTCCAAGCTGCTCTTACTGAACTGTTTCCTTAAGCAGCAAGGAAAGAACATTGCTTTCTTCTACTATTTTTATCCAGGTTTCTGGTATATGCTCTCCCAATTTGTAGATAAATGTTTGTTATACAATAAATTTTAGTTTTGGAGCACAGTTATGCATTTCACAAAATTTAATCTCTCAGAATCTAATTTTTACATAGGCCTTTAATTCAAACACTTTGGGGTTTTTTTTCAGGTACATTTATAGTACATAAATTCCAGGTCTAGAGTTAGGTGTTTTGGGGCTATCTCGTCTGTGCATTGGATATGCTCCTCCTGTGTACCTGTAACTCCGGGACCTTTTGTCAAGCAGGCTGGGAAAATCACACACCAAATTTCTTCCTGGTGCAAACTAGGTCACACAAAGTGTGAACAGTCTGTTTGATGACAAAGTGTATGCCAGTAAGGCAATAAGGTAGCTTGACAGAGGTAAAAATTCACCAAAGTGTAGTACAGGGAGTACACTATAAATCAAGCTGCAAAGAAAATGAAACTGTTGATAAAGCCAAAGAAGTTTGCTTAGTCATTAATGGAGTTAAATACCTGCCTATAGACTATGGTTGCCTCTTACTCACAAAAGCCCCTTCTTCAAAGGGCATGCAGGGTGAAGAAAGTGTGCACTCCCTTAAATGGAGATCAGAGAATGCAAAGCCAAGGACTTCAGCTTCAGGTTGGTACATATGCGGGAAATGCCAATCTTTTATTGTTCAAAGTGTATAAAAATGATCACCTGGCATTTTGGAGGTGTGCTAGCTTTGCAGATTCATGACCTAGCACCCATCTCTGCCCAGAAGTAAAAGAAAAAAATATCTCAACTGCATGTGTCAATCAGCTTCTTGCACATCAAGTGAAAGAATCCATGCTCAGGTCAACATCAGACCCTAGAAACCAGAAAGTACTTTTGAGAGTCAAAGGTTACATATAGTCTGTAATTGTCCATACCTTACGTTAGTGTCCCTGCAGGGTATGTTCAGATTGCTCTTTTACTTCCATCCATTTCATTTGCATTCCACTCAAAAAGTCTGATATCAGGATAGGTTGTGTTGTATGGGTAGCATCCTACTGGCACAACGCTGTAGACAGTTCTGGAGACCTGAGCATCACTTGGAGGTTTTTGCAGTTTTGCATATTGGCCTGTGTTTCTAAAAATGCTGCCCTTCTCTCTCTCAGTGCCGGGGTTCCACCTTCCCAGTATCAGTCATTCCAGACTTCAAACATTCAAACCAACATTACTCTCGCTGTCACCAGATGTACAAAACATATTGGTAGTGACACAAACTTTGACAACCTTATTTTTAAATCCTCCTGTTCCATTTTTTTAATAAAGTAAAAAATAGTAAAGACACCTCCTAGTAGGCAGGTGTCACCAAAATATGGGTACAAGGCATATTGCACCCCTTTGTTCTGGCCTTGTTGCTATAGATATTCTAAATGCACCAGAATTTTCCAGTTTGGTTTTTTCCCTCTGTTAGCTTAAATTTTTTATTACTTTGTTAGGGAGTAATGCTTCTGAGGCCCCAGTGATCACACTAAACACTTCCTAGTGAAGGGCAGTAGACATTAGCAGTTGAAAAGAGCAGCAAAATTAAATTTCAAAATGAGCAGTATCTGTCTGTTGTGCCGTTTAACCTGGTCAGTGTCATGTTATTCTCCTGGCACTTCCTTTATTTCTAATTAACTGCAACAAGATACCATGTAAATTTGTCCTTTTATTCTTTGTATTTATCCCTCCTGTAATTTTCACTGGAAGGAGAGATGTTTATTTTGGAGATTCCTAACTGTATGTCTCTCTTATCATGCAGGGGCATGTCACAGTGCAAAGCTGCAATGAAGAATCAAGGATTATCTTGCTTGGGCACATAACAATAGCATAATGTTTAAGTTTAGCTTATTTGTGCTCCTACAGCACAAAATAGGAGATTGAAATCAGATTTAAAAAAAAAAAAAGTTGGTGGGAGTGGTTATAGAATTTTGTTTATCCTGTGGTGAATAAGAAGATAAGATAGAAGATAAGAAGAGTGTGGAGGGGAGAGAAGGAGGTGTGGATCATAGGCTAAAAAAAAGGAATGGGCACAGTGAAGCAGGGAGAATGGCAGATGAAGCAGAAGCATATTTTCATATTGAACTTTGAGGGCTTAATTTCCTTACACATAAAACTTGGGACAACAGGCACACTGCTTGTCTGGGATCACTCTATATGGTGCAAAGTGTTCTAAAATTTTCTGCAGCGAGTCTATGGAGAATCCTGGTTTTATCCCAATATTAATATAGTGACATCTTTTATTGCCCTCTTTTATTGCCACTCTTTCCCTATTTATAATACACACAACCCTATTTCTCCAAATCTCACTAATTTAAAATCTGTGGCCCCAGACTTTTTCCAAAGCTATTGTAGGTCACTCTTCTCAAGTTTGCTGATGGATAAAAGCTGGGCCACCTGCAGAAGCTTCTGGACTGGGCAGACAGTTCTGTGTTTGCTTGGTTTGCAGTGTGGTATTGCAAGTGCCCATTTGTCTTTTTCTCATCTCCACTCTGAGAGCAGAGCCAATGCCCTTTTGCTTACAGAAGAAAACATGGACTACAAGGTATACAGAGATTTCCAGACACTGATTTTATTAATTTCACTGCATTAACATGAAAACAGGAAGAAATTTCATTCCAACAAGAGAAGGATTTACAGTTAAACACAGCAATAGAAATATCACCGTTACAGTAGGATTTGTATTGCACTGACCTAATTTATGCTTGAAAATTACAAAGGTGCTTTCACATTGTTTCAGTAAAGAGACTAGAAAAAAAAAGGAAAAGGATTACTTTTAATCTAGAAAGTTTACTGTAAGGACAGTTTTTGGTCTTTTGTGTAGTCTATCTGTGGCTATTAACCTCAAAAGGTTACATTACAATAGCTGATGTTATAAGAGCTAACAAACAAAAGCAGTGCCCAGGCATTTTGAGGCAAGAGGAAGAAGAGTTTTTGCACCACCTAGATGGAGGCATCTGATCCCCAAATTAAGAGGCTGACATTTTCAGGTTCCTTCCACAGCTGGACAGTTAATCTTCCCTTGAGACTAAATCCCATGACTGCTTCTGGCTCAGGCACTTCTTATTCTCTACTGACCACTGAGGGGCCTTGAAGAGATTTGCTGCTAATTCAAGCATCTACATCACATGCCTGACCTTAAGTAGCATGGAATTCCCTCTGGTGTCCGTGCTGGAGGTTAGTTGAACATGCCCCTCCAGATTTCCATGAGCAAGTCCTTGCACGCATGAGCTGTGCCCTTCCAAGGAAATGGGGGGAAAACCAGAAGGACAGCTCACTTGCATAAGGAGTGCTCACCTGCACTTCTTTACAGTTTGAAGTAGGAAATTGTCTGCTATGTTCCTCCTTCCTCTTCTTTGCTAACCCCATGTCCCTAGAATTCCTTTCTTTTACAGGGAAACTCTCAATAATGGAATAAATATATGGTCATTGCACACCAGTAGGCCAATGGTCTTGAGTCTTCAATCAGCATGCAGTTCTCATTGAGGCACCAGTTGGCTAGAGGCACTCTTCTCCTGGGAAGGCAGAAAGGTATGCCTTGTCTGGAATTGGCTTATTTTGCAGTTCCAAGGCCACTGTCTTCCTAGAAGTGTATCCAAAAAGTCAGAGTTGCTGTGTGTGTGAAGAGCATGTTTTTCCCATGCAGGAACCTACCCTGACACACCAGTGTCATGTGTTGCTGTGCCAACTCTTCTTCTGCACATGATTTACCTGTCCAGAACTAGGGCGGCCTGCTCTCAGTACTGTGCTCACATCCTTCAGAGGGTCCTGATATTTTGCTCATACAGAAACTTGCATAGCACATACCAAGGTAATTTTCATTCCAGTCTTGCAGATCTTTGCTGAAGGGCCTTTATTGGTTTCGTTTTGTTTTGGTTTTTATTTTCTTGCGGGGATATGACTTGTCAGTTAGGAGTGCATCATTGTCTTGTGCAGTCAGTAAACTTGGTGTGTGCAGTTGCTTGAAGAATTGCACCCACAAAATCACAATGTTGTTGATTAAAAGCACCCTTTGGAAAAAGTCAGCAACTGAATGGTGATATGGCAGGCATAAAATTAAAAAGCAAAAATCAAAATGCTATAACTTAAAGCTGTTAAAGAATTATGTTTAAAAATGACTGCACTATTTGCAAAACAGAAAAAATTGTGGGTTAAATGGTCCCAGTAAGATCTTGTGGTCTTATTACTGCTTAGAATTTTCAATATTGTATTCCTCTCTCAGTAAACCTCAGTGGATAGATTTTTGTAAAAAAGCACAATCATTTGTCTGGGACCTGTTTAAATCCTGATGTGACCCAGATATGCCGTGAATGTTTCCTCAAGAGCTCATTGATTCTCTTAGTTTAGCAATGGAAAATGCTGTAATCCCAGGGAACAGTTGACCACAAGAATAGGGGGTCATACAGTTTTCAGTAGTGGTTGACATAAAGATCTTAAATAATGTCAGGCACTCCTTAAGGCAAAGCAAGTGATGCAAAATTTGCTAACCAATGTTCTGATGTATTTTTACAGTCCAGTAGAGATGTCATGCTCCGCAGTGGATTGTGTGAATGTGGAACTGACTCTTTCCAATTTTTCACGATAAAGACTTGGACATTTTTTGCAAAGGTGAGGAGCGACATGCTTTCGGAAAAAGGTATAAAGATATGCCCTAAATTTTTCTCCAACAAATACATAAATCACGGGATTGATGCAACAATGGATCATTGAGATAGTTTCTGTCACTTGAATTGCTTTCTCCAGTTGACCTTTAAGTTCACAATTTGGGACGAAAAGTGAATTTTGAAATGTATGCAAAAAAGAAGAAATATGGAATGGTGTCCAGAAGATGAAGTAAAAAATCATGATTACAAAAATAAGTCTGACTGCCTTCTGTTTTTTCTCATTCCTAGATCTCAATAATGTTTTTAGAATTTGTGAGTAACTGAAAATCATAATGAGCATTGGAACAAAAAGTCCCAGAATGTTCATCTTTAAAATAAAAGAGTACTTCCAATTTATTGTGGAATCACTTGGATAATGAGCACTGCAAGTATAGCCTGAACTTTCCTTCTGAGTTTTTTGGAATACTACCCCAGGAACAGAAGCCAAAACAGCAACGGCCCAAGTGACGACGCTGGCGAGGACACCGTAGGTAACTGTCCTGGCTTTCAGAGCAAACACCGCGTGCACTATGGCCAGGTACCTGTCCAGGGTCAGCAGGATTATGAAGAAGATGCCACTGTAGAAGCCAAGGAGGTAGACACCTGACAGAATTCGACACAGCGCCTCCCCAAAAATCCACTCGTGAGCTGCATAATAAGCCCAAAAAGGGAGAGAAAATACAAAGAGCAGATCAGAAATCGCCAAGTTGAGCAGGTAGATGTCAGTCATACTCTTCAGCTTCTTGTATTTTACCAGGATAAGGACAACAAGCATGTTGCCTGTCAGGCCAAATATCACCACTAAAGAATAAAGAGGTGGCAAAAATTTTGCTGCAAAGTGCTTTTCCTCAGTTCCCATGCACGGTGTCGAATCGCCATAGTCAAATTCTGTTGTCAGTGGCCAGTCGGTGTAGTCTATAGTTTCATTCCCCATGGTGTATTGGTCTGGAAAGGAATAAAAGGCCATTGAACTAGAAGAATCTCCAAGCTTAACAGTGAAGGGAATGAAACATGCTGATGCTGTCATTAGAAATGAATTTTGCTGATGACCACACAAGCATTATGATGTCAAGGTGTGAAAGAGAATGAAATTGCAGAGCTCCCAGGAAACCCATCTATACATCTGAGGAGTCATACTGCTTCATGTTGGAAGTGAGTAATTACCCACAAGTACATTGTCAGGTGCATTTCTCCTCCTCAGTAGAGCCTGTCAGTTGCCTGACCCAGGGAGAGAGGATGGATGAATTTAATGAGTTGTGGGTAGTTTGGGTAGCTCTTGTGCTCATCCAGTGGCTTTCCAAAGGAGTATAGAAAGCCAGGAAGGCAGCCTCAGTGGAGCACTGTGCCTGGCATGCCGAGCATAGTCTTGCTTCTCCTAGGGATCTGGCCACCTGCTCATCATGCTGGTCCATCCTGTAGCCCTTACCCCCAGAGGACGAGGCATTGGTCAAACGTAAATGGTGCCTGCAAAGACACTGTGGAATGGGTGAAAAACAGCTGACTTCAAGCACTTCTTCAGGTTGCTTCAAGTGACATTCTGGGAGCCTTAATGCCTAGGGGAATTAGGACAGTACTAAGCACACCCACCTGTGCTATTGTGGCTGTTGAAGAGTGGAAAGTCGGCAGTGTTGGTCTGGGTTAAAATGGCAAACGCTGGGTCTTTTACGGAGCCTGTGGCAGGGGTAGGCAGTGGAAGTGCTGGTTTCAGATACCTCTGGAATGAAATTGGTGCATGGTCCTGTAGAGAGAACAGAAAGACAAAGACCTTAACAAACGATGCAAAAGAGTTGCTATTGGAGTAGCCTCTAATACCTGTTTCTGTTGTGGCATCTTCCTGTTAGCTGAAAGGCCTCTCCACTGCTGTTTGGGGATGTATGGAGTTTTGATTCCGTGTTTCAGTAGCTGTTTACAGCCCTTATTCAGGAGCTGCAAAATTCAGATTGGTAGAGAAGGAGCACAAAGGCAAAAGGCAGCGATATGGCTGTAGCTAAGAGTGTGCACTACAGTTCTTCATGTGATATTCTTCTTCACCCTTTGTCAGTCAGTGTTTCCAGTAAGGCAACAATGAGGAAGTACAAGGGTTGTGCAAACTCTCTGTCCCTTCTGTTTTGTTTAGGGATGGTTGGAGGACTGGACTTTCCCTGCAAGAACGGGTCTGGGTGTCAGCCCCTCTAGCTGCCAAAGCCTCCCCTTTTCCCAGGCCCCTGGTAGGACTGTGAGCCAGATGCAGTACATTTGTTTAACTTGATCTCTGAAGAGCTCGGGACAACTGTCTTTTCACAGACAGCCAGAGAACAGAGAAGAATTCCTGTGTGTCCCGTGAGAAGCTGGACAGAGAATTTTGTGAAGTGTCAGAGGGACCAAAAGTGCTCCCTGGTCATTTAGTGAGGAAATGCAATCGATGCCTTTGGTAGCCACACAAAGAGAGCTACTTGCTGTCTGTTTAAAGGGCTGCTCTGTCTTCCTGTGCCATCATGACTGCTTTTATCAGACACTTCATTACAGATAGGTGGCTGCCCATGGCATGGTGTTGGTTTTGAAATCAGCCTGTTCCTGGAAATGTCATGCCTGTTCTTAGACAAAGGCAACAGTGTCCCGATGCAGAAGAGTTCAGGCAGTGTGTCTGGCCCAGTTTGCTGTGTGATCCCTGAACACTCATGTCATGCACCAGTGTTCTCTCCTTTCCTGAATGCACTTTTCTCAGTGGTGTGCTCTGCCCTGTGTCATTGCAGGCATCTTTTGCAGAGACCACAGTCTCAAAACCAGCACCCTTTCATTGTGTCTGCGCTTGAGCTCTGCAAGTCTAAATGTCACTGAAGGAACTCAGGCCATGTCTGGATTGACTGACAGACAGGCTCCTGCTCTGCTTTTTAGTAGATAGTCAATTTAATTACATGTTGGGCCATTCTGAGCTGCAGCAGGTGAAATTTTTGAAGTATCTTAAGCTCGTGTCAGCTTATTCAGCTGTTTAAGAGAAGGCTGATTTCCTGATATGTAATTACAGAGCATTCAGGATCCAGAAGACATAGTTTTCATTTGGATTTTTATCTTGGTGGATATATGTATAATACAAATAACCTTCTTGAACAGATTTTGTTGGTTACACGGAAGTAAAATGATTTTTTGTGTGCGTATATGCACAAGTAAATATGCATACACATACATTTATATATAGAATCATAGTACTGTAGAACTGTAGAATCATTTCAATCAGAAAAGACCTCTAAAATCGAATCCAGCCATTAACTTAACACTGTCAAGTCCAGCACTGAATCATGTCCCTAAGCATCACATCTACATAGCTTTTAAATAACTCCAGGGATGGTGACTCAACCACTTCCCTAGGCAGCCTGTTCCAGCGCTTGATATCCCTTTCTGTGAAGAATTTTTTCCTAATATTTGATCTAAACCTGCCTTGGTGGACTTAGCCTTGTAGAATCTTTGTATAAAAATAAAGTAACTTTTATTTTCTTCAAAGTTTGGAATGTATTTTGAGTTGTAACACCAGCAGAAAATAATTGTGTGAGCAACAAAACTGAAGTTAACTGACTCCCTACAGAGTTGTCTCCTTTGCTGACCAAGCCCTGTGTCCTGTGAAGGGCTGACCCCAACCAGCAGCTAAGGCCTCATCTGGTCAACCCACTCACTTCCACACAGCAGGATCAGGGAGAGAATCAGAAGAGCTGAAGAAAGAAAAACTTGCAGGTTGAGAAAAAGACAGCTGAAAAAGAGAATGAAACTGGAAAAACCCACAAGATGTAATGCAAGGATGAATGTTTGCCATGTTCAACAAGCAGGCAGATGCAGTCCTTGAGCAATGCCTACTCTGGCAAAACTTCCCTCTGCCCCTAGTTTTATTCCTGAGTGTGAGTTTATATGGCACAGAATATCCTTTTGGTCAGTTTGGGTCATCTGTCTCAGCTGTGTTCACAAACCTAAAAGACATCACCATAAGGGCTGCTGGCAAGAAAAGTAAGTCCACCCCAGTCAGACCGAGTTCACCTTCCCACCACCACAATTTAACTTCTGCCCCATACAATTGACACTGACCCTGCCTAGAAAGACAACATGTACTGTGGTTTTTTGTTTACTGGCTCTTACCTGGTGGGAAGTCTCCTAGTATTTGTATGGTCCTCCTTTTCAAAACAAGCACAAAATATTAAAAATATTTTCTGAGATGCTTTTTAAAAAAATGCTTCTCCTTTGCACACAGGCAGTATTAATCACAAAGAACTCTAGAAAATTGCCCTGGATAAAAAACTCTATTGGAAATTACTAGTTGCACTTGATTTTAATTTTTTTCATTTATCTCTAACCATATTTCCCATTTTCATTTCTGCACATTTCATGAGCAGAAAGAAGCATCTTCTGCAAAAGCTGTAGCCCTTGACATGATGTCTCTTTTTGGCTCTTAAATTATCTAGGTGTGAACCTTCAGAAATAAGTGTGTTACAGCAAAGAGATCTCCAGGTTTATCTCTGCTCTTATGTTTAAACATAATTGGAACAATGCTGATTAGAGAACTTGTATTTAATTATTTGGTTTATTTCCTTTTTTTTTTCTGTCCAAAATTACACATGAATATTCAGAAAGTCTTAATTATTTTCATTTTCTGTACTGCATGTGGCCATCAGTGCTCACTGTCCTGACCACAGTCCCACTGTTTCTGCACAGGGTAGTTTTGGTTGCTGACAGAAATTCTGAATCATGTTTGCAAAAGCAGACAACATGCCAAGGCTAAGGTAGACATATAAGAGGAGAACTTACTAATTTGTCCTGTGTTTAACCATGTAAGAGTATCTAAATACATGAACGGTCCAATAAGAGGCTACTGTTGTTTTCCCTTGGAGGACTGGTTATGTTCTGAGTTGCCAAAGAAGCTGGATACAGAGAGGTTTGGCCAAGCAATGGGCCAAATACCAGCACCCTGGAAAAAAAAATTCTTGCAAAGAACATTGAGTTACATCTTAAATGGGATAAAATTTGGTTTGCTGAAGACTTGTAACTTTGTGAGCCCAAATAAACATAATTTCATTTCTCTAAGTTTTAACAAAGCTGCACTTATGACAACATCAGAGATTCTTGCAATGAAGGTGTAGCCCTGAAACATGTCTTTCCAGATTCCTGTATTTTGGCAGCTTTGAGAGAAGCCTCACTAGCTCTTGAGCATTAGCTGCTATCTACAGTGTCACTTTAAGCTAGAAGATGTCTCGGTGCTGGTAGGACTATCAGACATGATATTGTCATGTCATTCAAGAAAAGCAGCTCCTGAGTTGCTACAGTGACTTATTTAGGGATGACATTTGTCACAGCCCAGTGAGTCTGTTGTGCTCTACAGGGGATTTGGACAAAGTTTCCCCTCAGAAACAAGAACTTGTAATAACTACAAGTTACAAGAGCATCTGTGCATGAATGGAGTTGCTAATTTCAAAACTGAATGATCTCCCCAAAGTTCCATTCACCTTTTTTCAATTTAAGACAAGATTTCACTTTTAAAATGTATGAGTGTGTAACACGGTGCAACTGCCCTCGCCCTCACTCTCCTCCTCTGTATGCCAGCATTTGGCACGCAGAAGAATAATTGCTTAATGACTTGTAGTCAGCTTAAAAGTATGTGTCAGCAGCATCTAGGGCACTTTATGAAGAGAGAGAAGTGCAACATTGCACTGAGTAATACTGAAACTTAAAAAATAATACCACATACACTGATGGCAGGCTCTGCAAGAGAGGTACCCAATGTTTTCTGCTAACAGCTCTACCTCTTTAACTTTCTAGGAGGAGCAAAACTGCAGAGACAGACTGCACAGACACCTGCACTTGCTTGGAGAGCAAGCATAAAAGTAAGAACTTTTCCTGAGTTGCCAGGAAAGATGAAGGAAAAGATGGCAGTGTAAACTAAATACTCTGTGTAAGACTCTGAACTGATAGTTTCCCTCAAACACGACTTTTCATGTGGTAGTGACCACAGGATTTCTTTCTAGGATTTGACTGGGCAAAAAGACCCTTCCAAAATTAAACCTTGCCCGGGAAACCGCTTCCTCTTTTCTAACAGATGAGCATTAGAAGCATTCAGAATTACTTGCCTCCTAAGTGATGGGGTTTTTTCAACCCTGCAAAACTTTGAAAGTAAAATATATCCTGGGCTGAAAAGAGCAGGCTTAATTTTCTGTGAGCCCTGAGGATCTGATTATGTTCCCCATCATAACCAGAGAGGCAGTCTGGCAAAAATTCTGAGCTTTTCTGCAGTTAAATAGAGTCAGTCTACGGGCCTCAAGACAAAAGAATTAAGATATGTTCTTACCTAAACAAATGTACAGTAAAGGAATATCATAAGCACTGGAAATTAGCATTCTGAGAAAGAGAAATTTGGGATGTGTTAAGTATCTTCCTCCAAATCATGAGTATATGTATACATGGGCTCTTCTCTTGTGTAAGCTGACTTCTGGGCTTGTATGTCCATTAGGGTTTTTTTTTTTTTGCTGTGGTTTGGTTTGGGTTTCTTTTTTTCAGTATCTGATAAAACATTGAATTCAGAGTAGTTCAAGCAGCAGCTGTAGTCCCAACCATTCTGAGGATGAACTCAAGTACAAAATGGAAGGGTAACAGCTTGGAGTGGAGGTTGCCAGCATATGCCATAGGATCATGTGATGTCTTGTTATTGCTCCAAGGGTCTCTACACTGAGAGGTTCAAGTCCCCTGCTGTGTTGCTGTCAGCTGTTCCAGGCAAATGACAGTGAAATTCTCCCAAGAACGTAAAAAATAATGAAAAATTATTTGTAGGCTATTGTAGGCTTTTTGCTAATATAAAAATAGCAAATCTCATTTATACAA